ATCTCTGGGCGTGACTAATTGGCAGCAAAAAAAAAAAACGAGAATTGAATTGGGCGAACGGGTGGACCGGCGGGCGGAGGGGCGGAAGGGTGTATAACCCAATTTCATACTCGAGTGAAAAATTGAAATTTCAACGAAATTCACTTGAGGTAGGTTCCGTGAGCTGCACAAAAAAAAAGCCAGCGATTGCATATTGCTAAAACCACAAAGCATTTAAGTTCATTTAAATGAACTTTTTGTAGAAATAAATCATCTACAGTAAAGCACGAGAGCACGGAAATACAAAGACGATTCAAGCTCTCAAATCGAAGCTAAACGGAAATCAGAATCAGAAGTCCCTCATTCTGCTAGATCGGAGCACTATATAAGATAGCTGCCGTAGGAACGATCGGTTCTTGATTCAAGCGATTCAAGCTTCCAAATGTAAACTAAACTAACTTGATATAAAGCTTGATTCCTATTTTAGCTGCAAGTTTTTGATTAAGTTATTGCATTTGTTACTGAAAGCCCGTTGAAAGATACAAAAATGCATAGATAAGCGATATCAATGAGAATCTGAGAATATTTGCTCGTAAAGCATACGAAGAAGCCTTTCTTTCGCTTGATAGAGATCGGAAATAAATCAATCCTTTAACTGAAGGCTCGATGCCATTGCCAACGTAACCTTTATATTTCAATGGATTGTTGGTAAAAATCTAAATTATCTGCTATGTGACTCAGAGCTCAAAGCACGGAGCTGTCTGTCAATCGACAAACAACATAAATAGACCGAGAGAGAGAGAGAGAGAGATTTTGAGGCAGATTGTCGTCGAGTTAAGAGCAATACAATTGAAGCACGGATTGCTGTCGTTGATGTCGTAGCTATGACAACGCGGAAATTGTTTGCAGCTCTCAAAGAGTTAAAGGGTTGACGCTCAAAGAGTTTCTAGAACAACAAAAACAACAAGTACAACATCCAGAACAAAAACAACAACCAGAACAACAACAAGAAGAACAAGAAGAAGCAGTAGCAGCAGCAGCAGCACATCCGACGCTGTCAGTTTGAAATTCAAACGAACTTCCAGCGTAGCAAGAACATCATCATTATGGCTGTCCATTGTCGTTGTTGCTCTTTCAGTTTATATACCCTTATAAAGGGTATCATAAGTTTGTCTTGCAATGTGTAACGCAAGGGAGACATCTCCGATCCCACACAGTATATGTATATATATATATATATATTCTTGATCAGTATCAACAGCCGAGTCAATAAAGCTAGGTCCGTCTGTCTGTTTCTATGCGAACTAATCTCTGGGTGTCTAGTCTGCATGTGTAGAAACCAGCTGGATCGTACGACTATATCATATAGCTGCCATAGGAAAGATCGGTCGAAAAGTAGGTTCTTGTATGAACTGTTTTGTTTATCAAGATATCTTTTCCAAACTCGGCATTTATTAATTTTACTATGCTCCCCATATATATGCTTATTCCTTTTAACATCAGATTACTATATCATATAGCTGCTATATATTAAGTTTTTGTATGTTCTGCTTTTTCAGATATTTTTTTATCAATCAGCCTTTATAAGCTTCTCTTTTCCCAGATATCTACAAAACCGTAAGGCAAATGACTGAAAGGGTATTAAATCTTCGGCATACCGAAGATAGCCTTACTTTCTTGTGGTTGTTGGCATCGGTCAGCAACATGTTGTTGCTTCTGCTTCTGCTGCTGCTGCTTGCAACTAGGGTCCATTGCTCCAGTAAATGTTGTTGTTGCTGTTGTTGTTGTTCTTATTGTGCACTTTATTGATGTAAGCGAACAACAAAAATTTGCATTAGAAGTTCATTAGCGAGTGCGGCTAACCGCGAAGGAAGCTCTACAAACTGGCAAAAAATTCTCAACTTCAAGACATGCGGCAAAAAAAAAAAATGTGGAAGGAAACAGTCAAGCAAAGGCTGCCGAAGTTAAAATACCCTTGCAACGCATCGGCATCATACATAATTGAAATGTTTGCAGTTTGCGTAATTGATTCATTCGATAAAGATTTTTTAAGCGAAATGGAATAGTTATTCGATACGCCGAAGAATAAATGCCAAGCTCAATCTCTCCCCGATCGGGACTATGTGTGATATAATACTAAAATGTTCGTAATTGCTGAGGTTGGTTGAGATTTTTTGAATACAAAAGCCTTTTATTAAGGCCTTAAGATGTAATATTGGAGCGTTTCATAAAGATAAGCTAAAAACTGAGCCATATGAGAAGACTATTAATACTTTTTGCGATGCGTTCTGAATTGTTGGATTGAACCAAATACGTTTGCCCCCATTTGGCGGAGAAAGAAAGAAAGTTAACTAACCGCAAATGAATTGCAAAAGGCAAAGGTAATGCAACGTTATGTGGAAAGGGGATAGAGAGATGCATACATATATAAATAATGTAGCTCATGTTTCCCGGAGCTGTGCGGTCAAAAGTTTTGCTTCAAATTTTAGACATACATTTTTCACTTACTCGTGAAATGCACGACTTAAGTTAAAATTTTACATAGATATTTGAAAATGAGTTTGACGTTCTAATAAAGAACCAATACTTTCCATTTTACAGCCTAATTCAACTGTCAGCCTTTCTCGCATTTTTTGCGAATGTGAAGTATGTTGCCCGTAGTGTTTCCCACACGAAACCACATTTTTCACATTTTGAAACAATTTTGGTATTTGCCCAAAGTAATTCGTGTTTTTTGCGCGGATGTGATGTATGTAAATGTAGCAAATGTTGAGCATAGTGGAATCAGGCATAAATGTTACAAATGTTGCGCATAGTGGAATCAGGCATATATGTAACGAATGTTGCTAATAGTGGAATCAGGCTTTATATGTGACAAATGTTGAGCATGGTGGAATCAGACTATATATGTAAGAAATGTTGAGCATAGTGGAATCAGGCTAATAGTCTCGTCGTGAGACTTTTGAAGCCGAAAAATCTATTTTTCGTTCATGCAACCTTCCACTCTCATCTTCCCTCGAAATGGGTGGATTTAGTAAAATGTGTGAAACACAATACACATGAATTTGTCTAAAGATTCCAGCATATGAATTTGAACTCGAATTCCATTCACATTTTCAACATTTTCCGAAAAGTGGTAAATTGTTTTTAAATGCATTTGAAGAAACTTTTTTGAGATATCTTTTTCGCTCTTTTTCCCCACTTTTGGATGGGAAAAAGCACGTCTTAGCGTGCGCGACTTACATAAAGTAACACATAGTTTTTAATCAGTAAGTTAGTCAGTCAATCAGTCAAGATGAACATTTTTTGTAAGTACAGTACGCCCTCGCTCAGCACAACCCATGTCAATTGGGAAAACTTTTATGTGGCTCAGTTTCATTGCTGCGCAGTGAAGAGAACCCCGCGAAATCGTGTGTATGGAGGATTGCTTTGAGCGAGGGCGTACTGTATGAATGTATTTAAGTAAAGTCCCTCCCCCCTTCCACCCTTTCTCCCAAAAGCTGGCCACTTGTTGCTATGTCAACGCTTTGTTTTCTGTATAAAGCGACCGCTGCCTGCATTTGTTGTTATTGTTATTTGTTTGTTTTTCGTCAGCTGCATATAAAACGGAAGCCAGCAGAACAAATAAATAATCTGAGTACATTTACATTCAAAATGATTCACAATTGCAGGCCCCATCGCATTCATTAATGCCAAATTGCTTAATCTTCTTCTCTTTGAGATCATAGAGTTTATCATTAAATTGGAAATAGTTAATGCTGCTATCGTTAGCTTTTGACTTGGTGCATGGCCAAACAATTTTCAGAAGTTTTTCAGCTAATTAAAAGCACTTCTACACGATTATTAATAGTATCCGCGTGCGCTGCCGTCTTTTGATGTTTAAGCACCAACATAATTGGCTTTCATGGAAATTTATATGTATGCACATTCTTTAGCTGCAACGTTATCTGCAGCTTGTCGATGCACATGTCTGTGTATATGTGTCTGCATGTTGCGTAAATGGAGATTCAATTTTGTATGCATGCCGCGGACGAGCAGAAATTGTAAAAAAGAACCATGCCCCTTTTGCGCCTCCATATTAATTAAAGACTTCCGCCCGAGCTGGCGCGAACGGACGTCTTTTGTTGCAATCATTGTCTTGAAAGGGGCGCTGCATTGGCCAGTGCTGGACAACGACCCGAAAGGGGGTTGCTACGGGTTTCGATGGGATCTAGGTAGCTAGCGAAGTCTCAGCTTTTGATTTAGAAGTAAAGGGATGCTGCAGACAAGTCAAAGGCACAAACGAAGCTTTTGAGCAGAGTTCAATGAACCAATTTAACAACCAGAAGGTCGAAATCCTCTTAACTAAGACCTGAGAGATAGGCGCCTCCAAAGACCTAAGCCCGGTTATCTACGAGGCGAATCATTTAAATACCTCCTTCCCCTTTATTGTAAATTTCCCTCTATTCTAATATCATATAAGATACATACTTCTAACTATACCTTCTTCCCTCATTGAAATTGAAAACATATAAGATACATACTTCTAACTATACCTTCTTCCCTTATTGAAATTGAAAAAAAAAAATAAAACTAAGCAAAGCACCAAAAGCCGAATTTGATCAATCTAGCCTGGTTTCATTTTCCCTTTGCGAATTTCGTTTAAATAGTATTTGTTTTAATTTATCCAGTGCAAGGGTTCTTTCTAATTTACCAACACTGCTTTAGCAACACTACTTTACCAACGTTGCCATACCAGCACTACTTTCACAATATTGTCGTCAAAATAATTATTATCTATGTATTCTAAATGTATAAATAATAATTATAATAATTATTATTATATATTATATAAATAACCAATATAATAGCATTAAGAATTGCACTTTTAACATTTTAGGCATTGAAAATGTCAATTTTTAACAGCTGTTTGCTCCACACTCTTACATACGCACACACATGCATGTACACGTACACATACATACACACACACGTACACGTACATACATGCATGTAATTGCCATGCACATATTTATACTGACCTTTGGCAGATCACGAATGTGATTCGCATCCAAAAAGAGTTCCTCGAGGGTTCGCGAGTAGCGTAAAATTTCCTCCGGCACCTGGGGCAGCGAACAGTGGCGTTTGTCCACGAATTCCACCTGCCTGTTGCAGCCTTTGAATATTGGAATGCACTTGAACATGGTTGTTGTTGTTGTTGCTGTTGCTGTTGTTGTTGCTTGCTGTTGATGACGTATTTCGTGGTTGTCGTTTTAGGCGTCGTTGTTGCTGTTGGTGTCTTTGCACAACAACAACACAAACACAGAGCGTAACGTTTGCAGCATCTGTTGCAAACGCACACACAATTACAATTACACACACACGGACACGGACACGGACACACAGAAAGAAAGAGACAGAGACAGGCACGCGCAGTTTTTGGTTGCCTGGCCTGGCCCTGCGCTACGTTTCTTTTATTTTCTTCGTTTGTTGTTGTTGCTGTTGTTGTTGTTGTACTTTTTGTGAGTTTTACTTTTCTTTCACTTTTATCGCACACGTTTTGGCAACATTTTGCGCTAATTTACTGCAATTAAGATTTTAATACATTACACTTTGCATTCGCATTTATATTTTTATTCGCGTTACGAAAAGGTAGCTAAAGGCAAGAAGAAGAGCAGGCAGCAGCACACGTGTCAAAAAATGCCTTGCCTCCGCCTGTCCTTGCCCAACACTTATTGTTGTTTTTGTAACTCCAGAGAGCGACAGAGCGAGAGAGAGCGAGAGAGCATGAGCGTGTGCGAGCGCGCAAACCGACTCTAGGCCTAACGAAGTTTTGCTTGCGTAGCGCTATCCTCTTGTATGTGTTTGAGTGTGCCCGTATGAGTTAAATAAGAGTAATAGGAAATATAATGAATAATAATAAATTCTAATTGGCACTTGTGTCTGTCTGTTGTTGTTTCTGCTGCTGTTAACGTCCGGCTTTTACTCGCGCACTTTGGCCACATTTTATCACGTATCACAAGTTCTGATACGAAGCAATAGCAACATTTGTTGCTTCTTTCACCACTACACACACACACACACACGCACGCACACAAAAACGAGAAAAAGCCAAGCAAAAACAACTCACAATGACACTTGACTGGTGCGCGGCAGCCGCTTGCGAACGGGCTTAGAATGAGAGAATCGTGAAAGAGGGCCCAAAGCGTAGATGATGCAAAGCAAAAGCAAAAGCAGTAGCGACGCACCAAGCACACACACACACACACACACGCACACACACACACAGAAACTCCACTTGGGTCGAAAATTTCAACAAAATAAAAGTGGAAAATTATAATAAACACGGCCAACAACGACGACACACCCAAACACAAGCACGCACACACATACACACACACACACGCACGTAAGCGTCCAAAACCGGGCATGGGAATTGAAACAATTGTGAGCTCGCTTTTGGTGCCACTGTGCAGCGTATGTTTTGGAATTTACACACACACTGGCACGCTCTCACACACAATGCGCGCTGCGCAACAACAAAGTGCTGGTCATAGGCGGCTATACACAACGACGACGACTACAATACAAAACGAGGCAAAAGCGGCGTCGCCGCTGAGCAAGGCGCCTGTTTGCACAAGTTATTTTTTTTTCGCACGCTTCATTTTGCCACTTACGTTTGCTGCGGCTGCGAGTGCACTGCGCTTAACAGAAAATTATGAATATTAACTGTACAGAGGCGGAAAAAACAACTCGCTGGCATGCAAATACATACACACACGCGCGCACACAAATGGCGTTTACACAAATCAACGTATACGAAATTTACGAAGCGCAGCGCCTGTTCACATCAACCGCTCGCGACAAAAACAATTCGGCAACTGTTCGGTGTGACCAATGTGAAAAATCACAAAAAATAGCTTAATCCACAAAAAACAGTGTGGCTGCGTCGTGAAAACGAGCTATTCGATAGGCTATGTTAACTATCACATAAATGTTATCGATACATGAACTGTTAATTAACATTTTGTGTTGTCGATGTTAGCTATACAGAATCACAGACTGTTAAACTCAAAAAGGTACTGTTCAATTACAGCGCAGCAGTGTGAAGTTGGCCACAATTTCGTTGCAGTGCTGCCAAACATAACCAGAAATGCGCGGGCGTTTGAATTCAAAAGCCGTTAAAATTTAAACAAAATTATTTTGTGCTATGTGACCTCATAAATCGGTAAAATCTCATTCGATTTTCACGAGGCTTGGCTCTTTGTTCATGGTTTGGAGTCTAGATCAAAAAAAAAATTATAATCCGACAAATACATAAAATTGCGGATATTTTAAAGGTCTTCTTTATAAAATGCATTTGATTAAAATACTAATATAAAATCTGTTTGCCATACATAATATTATTTTATTTACCGATTCATATTTCTATTCCTATACATTTAAATTTTTGGCTTATATATAAGTATATATATGATATAGTTTATATGGAAATTATATGATATATAAGTCCGATATTCTTAAGATTTTGCAAATATGCAAGGAGCTTAAAACTGCCGAGTATGCTCAAAATATCATGAGAAACAAACAAAAAAGTGTTCCACACAATAACCACGTTTTAGATATATGATATAGTATTGCGATCCAGCCGGTTCCGACTGCCTGTAACAGAAAGACGAATCCATTTTGATATATATTGGAACTATCGTAAGCGCAATGACCAAGGCTTAAAAGCTCTATAAATTGTTCCGATTTATCAAATAGATATATGGTTCAGCTTAGGTTTAAAGCCGTCTGTTCCGTATCCAATTAAACTAAGCTAAGATTCCCTTCTTGCTAAATAAAATATTTGAAAAAAGAATGCAAGCTGGTTAGGCTCAAAATCGCCTTGCAGCCTTTATTGTGCTGAGAATCTTTTCTAATGCGCACTCGGCATAAATAGATTGCATAATGCTGCGGACGCTTGTTTGCCGAAAGATTTTCAAGAGCTGTTCGCAATGCGAACTTTGCAAAAGTGTTGCCTGCTTTTTGGGGCGTGCGAGCCCCAACAGCCAGGTGCAAATTTGGGCACGGGCAAACGATCTTGGGAGACAACAAATAAGGAAAACAAGCGGCGACCGCAAACAAAGCAAATGCAACCTCAGCGCAGACAATGTTGTTTGTGTTCTTGTTGTTGTTGTTGTTGTTGCTGCTGCTGCCAGCGACAAACACAGCTGTCGAGTGCGGCGCTTAAATAGAAAGTAAACTGCAACTCTTTGCTTTGCTAATTTTACGGCGACGCCTCGACAATTGTGTGGGCGTGTTGAGAAACAGACAGAGAGAGAGAGAGAGAGATGGAGAGAGAGAGATGGAGAGAGAGAGATGGAGAGAGAGAGAGAGAGAGAAACAACAAGGTGACAGGGTCCGGGCATGGGCGTGCCTGTGCACTTGCTGCTTATTATTTGCACTCGGCAAGGCCAGAAGCATAATAAATTGAGAGAAAACGGCTCGCACTTGGAAATCTTTTATTCATGAATGCCGCGCCCCGCCCGCCAGACCATAAAAATTGCACAATTTGAAGAGCCATCGCACAGCACGACAGAGACGGAGACGGAGACGGAGAGGGAGAGGGAGAGGGAGACGGAGAGGGGGAGGGAGACATTTGGCCAAAAACGAGAAACGTAAAAAAAAATGGTAAGCGCCTCAAGGATTTCGGCAATGGGGCTTGCTCCTGACGCTGCGGCTATATTTGGACTGGCTGCTGCAGGCGATAGTTGCATAAATCATAAAAGTCCCTGCCGATGATGTTGTTGTTGTTGTTGTTGTTGTTGTTGTTGCGAGCAGAAGGACTTTACGGCACTTAAGTGAGAGTCACCAAGTATCTGAATTTGATTGCGCGGCCGCAACGTCTGTGTCTGGCCCTGGCTAACTCCTTCTCTGCTTTTGGCCTTTTATTTATGTGGGTTTGAGGCGTGGCCCAAGCACTTGCACATTTAATATGCACGCTCCGACTCAGACTGTTCAGCTTTATTGTGTTCAAATTGCTTTGCCTACAACGCGGCGCATCCACTTGGCCAGGCCCAAAGAGCAGCCGGAATGGGTTTATGCAACAAGTTCTCGCCCCTCAGATGTTTATTTGTGAACGGCTCGAAGAAGTCCTTGGTGCAGTTGGGCTCGGCATCAACGGGACAGCAGCTTTCCCTTTCACGCAAATTTATTGTTATTTTCACGTGTAAATGACAAAAGTGGCAAATTATGTGCAAAAGATGCAACTCGCTGATATCAAGAAAAAATCACAAATTATATACTACTTATATTCGCAGCTATAATTCTTCCAGGCACTTCCTTCAACTGGTTGCATTTCTGATATGTTATAAAAGTAATTGGTTTTATTTTTCTTATGATATAAAAGTTGCGTTTCTACAGGAATTATATCACAGTAATGTGATGATTTATCATTTCACATGAAAAGAAAATGATTTTATTGAAATATTTTGTAATTTTAGACGTATTTGTTGCGAGTGTGAAAAAAAAATTGCACTCAATTAAATTCATTTTGTCAAAAATATTTTATCAAAATTATAATATAAATAACGAAACTAACAAACTTTTCTAAATTATGCGCTATTTAAAGCTTACTTTCAGATTTATGTTTTAACAATAAAATATGAAATTGATTTTTATACATGCTCTACCCTGTACCCTTTAAACCTAAGCATGCGGGGTATATTGCTTTTGTCTAAATGTTAAATGCAAGCAAAGCGATGCATCTTCGACCCTATAAAGCATTTATTGGCAGTCGAGTCAATTGTGCTTCGCCATGTTCGTAGGGTATATGATATTTATAAATATTGTATGGCCTCATAAATTCTGTACAAGAAATAATCGAAGCTATTAAAAGCATGTATTCTATAGAGTGTGGATATTCTATGTGTATAGAAAGAAGTTGCAGGGTATCTGCTAGTCGTGCAGTCTCCAGCCAAGAGCCATCTAGCCAATATTTTGCAAGCAAAATTCTTAATGCAGGCATATGTTTTTTCAGGCGAAACATAATGCGAATGGCTCCGAATTTATTTGCGCCCATTTCGATTTAATTATTTATTTATTTTAATGGGCTTTTCCGACGTGGAAAATGGATCATCTACCTATTAATTTAGCTTGGTCTGGGTCTTACGATCGCATCTCACGCCCATTTCAGATTATTAGCTGGCGCTAAACGGTACTCGAGAAGCTTGAACCGACCATACCCCCGCCCCCCGCACCACGCCCCCCTGGCACGCCCAGCCGCCCCCTGTGAGCCGCGCACTTAATTTATGACTCGGCCAGCAATAATTCAAAGTCATAGGCCTCCGGAGACCATTGAGAGCACTCGACCGCCGGCTATGGCCGACACGGCCAGCACGAGGGTCTGGCACACCTTGTACTAGGGCTGCCCGCTGGCAATATTGTGGCTAAGGAATTTTTAATTAAAATATTAAAGCCTCGACCGTAAGGTGTTTTTTTGTTTTCTTTTTTTTAATCTTGCAAATTGTTTTAATTGTTATTTAGGATTTGTTGCTTTCTTGTGGCGCGCGATTTATGAGCGCCTAATTAGAGCAGACAGCGCTGCCCATTTCATGCTCCTTCTCAAAACATAAATACAAAATTAATATCTACAGATATACAGCCGCCTCATAATTACCATATTTTCAAATTACCATACGCCAAGTGCGCCGGGGCCATGGCCATGGCCATTAAAGCTAATTGTATGCGTGTGTCGCGGCGGAGTCTGAGTCTGAGTCTGAGTCTGAGCCGGAAAGCCGAAAAGATGCGCAGATGTAGATGTAGCTGGTCGGTGATTTATATTTAATTGTTGTCATTATGGTCGTCAAAATTGCGCCCACCTTCGCGTTCGCGTTTTTAATGCCAGCATCCAACACAGACAACACGCAGCAATTAATTCAATTTGGCGAGCTGACAGCGGCCAATGTGTGGAGTGGTCGCCGCTTGTTTATTGTCGTCTCTTGATGCTCGAAGCGTGTAAATATGCTTAAGAAGGGCCAATTGTTGACAAAAGTGTGCGAAAACTTGGCCATGCAGCCGGCGCGGCATTGCAAGAGCCCGGCGCAGAGTTCTCTTAAGCTTTTTTTAAGAGCAAACGTTGCGGCATTGAAACATTGCTGCCACTTCCTCTCTCTCTCTCTCGCTCTGTCTCTCTCTCTCTCTTGTTTTTGTTTCGTTTCCGTTTCCGTTTGCGTTTCGATTTTCATTTTGTTGTCGCTGCAGCTCAGTTGTTGGCCAGCTTTGCTGCCGTTCGGCAGGAGTTGACTTTGGAGTCCGCAAATCATACACGAACTTTGACATTCCTCTAAGGTTGCCCACAACTGAAAGAGTGCAAAAACAAACTAGAAGTCGGTTTTTTTTTAGTATTTCAATTAATAGCTAATTACACACTTGCCTTTGGCGCCAATCGATGTACTTTGCTTCTAACATCATGTAGAAAACTTTAAGACTTTTTTTTCACAAGTTTCTACTCTAGACGAACACAAAAGCGTTTCATAACTAAAACAACTTGACAATGACAGCTTTAAGCCAAGTTAACAATATGCTTTTACTTTTCAGTTCATTTACCGTGAACATTTATATAAACAAATTCATCAGTTTCACATTTCACAGAGCGTTAACAAATTTACTCTGTGTTGTTCAATCAGATAAATACTGAATTTCCTTCAAAGAACCATTGCATTCGTTTACTTGACGCACCTGTAGTTTCTTCAATGGGTCTTAAAGGGCTTTAAGCAAGGAAATATGAATGACGCAATGCAAATAAAGCTGCTCGAGTCGGAAGCGCCACACTAGGAGATAGCCTAAACACAGCACCCAACTGCCATTGTAAAGCTTCGAAATTCTATATTTATTAAATTATTATAATTTTTTACATATAGACATACTCAAACACAATCATACACGCTGCAACCTTTCAGATTTATGCATGGGAAATTCATTTTTAAAATATAAATGCTATAGAAATATATTGCTTCTATGGGTCTAAAGAAATTGCTGAATCTATAAATTAAAATCAATTAAAATCCCAATAGTTTCTGTGAGCCTCACAAGTTTTTCTTTTGTAGAAATAGGTAAACAGATTTAATCTCTATCTCTATCTCTATCTCTATCTCTATCTCTATCTCTATCTCTATCTCTATCTCTATCTATCTCTATCTCTATCTCTATCTCTATCTCTATCTATCTATCTCTATCTCTATCTCTATCTCTATCTCTATCTCTATCTCTATCTCTATCTCTATCTCTATCTCTATCTCTATCTCTATCTCTATCTCTATCTCTATCTCTATCTCTATCTCTATCTCTATCCTATCTCTATCTCTATCTCTATCTCTATCTCTATCTCTATCTCTATCTCTATCTCTATCTCTATCTCTATCTCTATCTCTATCTCTATCTCTATCTCTTCTCTATCTCTATCTCTATCTCTATCTCTATCTCTATCTCTATCTCTATCTCTATCTCTATCTCTATCTCTATCTCTATCTCTATCTCTATCTCTATCTCTATCTCTATCTCTATCTCTATCTCTATCTCTATCTCTATCTCTATCTCTATCTCTATCTCTATCTCTATCTCTATCTCTATCTCTATCTCTATCTCTATCTCTATCTCTATCTCTATCTCTATCTCTATCTCTATCTCTATCTCTATCGCTATCTCTATCTCTATTGGAGCCTCCTTTTTTGATATATACACATATTTGAATGCCATATTTATGCACCTAAATATCGAACATAAGACCTATTCAAAATTAAATGTCCAATAGTGTGGTAAATGGGGAAGAAGCAGCTCTCCTGCTGCGTAAGTTGCGCACATGCGTTTGTTGGTTGTGAATAAATGTATGAGTTAGTATCTGCAAAAGCACTTCGGAATTCATATTGGGTTATATTTTATGATTTCAAGAGTTCAAAGCGTGCTGCTGAAAACCGAAATATTATATTGACTAAGAGGTAGTAGTGGTTCGTAGTGGAGCACACTCAACTGCAGCGTTCTTACTTGTTTCTCTTATGATTTGTGTGCACCAGTAAGAGCACAGGTACTATAGCCAGAATCCATTAAAGATTAATAAAGGAGGTGCTATGTTTTGTGCAAATGTATGTAACTGGGAGAATGAAGTATATATATACTTGGTCAGCATTAATAGTCGATTCTATCTAGCTATGTTCCTTCTGACTGTCCGTCGCAATATGTGAAGGCATTGATCTCAGAAACTATACGAAAAATGGTTATGAAAATTCTGCTTTTTGAGTATATCTCGAAGTCAATAAAGGCTAGAGACACCCAATTTTGTATGTAGTCTTCGTATGGAAAGACAGATTCATAATATATGACTTATGGGACCTCAACCCACGGTCTCCAAATCAACAATAAATGCATCCAAGTTTGAAAGAAATCACCCAAGTTTAAAAGAATCAAAAATGAAGGAAAGAAGCTTATTGTCTATAACTTTATTCTGACTTATTTGTAGGGCTTTCAAAATAAAGGGTGGAAATTGGGAGCACGCGATTGTAGAGGTGCGTGGTGAAAATGTTATCTAACTAAAATTTATGCGAACAAATATATATTTATTGATATTTAAATTTATTTATTTGTTTGATTAACTGGCCAAAAACTAAGTTTAAGCAAAACAAGCTATAGGCGCTAGTATCCGACTAGGAGATACCCCGAACCATCGTCTAATGTTGTTTTCCTATAAATGTGCATTTAGTTGATCTAATTTAAAATTTGTGTTAATAATACACTCTGGGTATAAAAACATGCATAGATACATCCACATAAACACAAACAAGAAAAAGCTCGTTTTATCTATTTAATGGGTAGATCGATACGACTAGCAATATTTGAGAAATTGTATCTATGAACCGAACAAACTAAAGAGATCGTATCATATGTATGGGCAGAAAGGGGATGGACGGACAGAGGTGCTATATCGAGTCGGCTATAGATGATATCTAAGCATATAAATACTTAACTGGGTTGAAGATGCTTTCCTCTGCCAGTTACATAAATTTGCAAAAAAGCCATCATACCCGTTTGACGCATCCTCAATGAGCTTAGGGTATAAACAGCTTAAGCGCTGTTGATTGAAATGTTTATTCAAATATTGAATAATTAATTGGAATAAACATTTGCTATAAATTGAAGCAATTTTAGCTTGTATGCAATCACTTTAGCCATTTAATTTGCATTTGCATTTTCTTTTAGTACATTATCCTGCACAGAGATAAGGACATTGGCTGTGCATATTATTTTATGCATATTCTTGTGTATAATGCAATTTAAAATGTCAATTGCTCAGCATAATTCGTTTTGTGCATTTTTGAATTGACGCGAGTTAAATTAATTTTCATTTTTTTGTTGTTGCCAATTATTTCCATTTGTTGAATCAATTCAATATATAGTTTCTTTTCTTTTTTAACACTCGCTTGTTTCATTTTTTTTTTCCGATGCATTCAAATTTAAATAGGTTATTTAATTAAATACATTTATTGCATACATCAAGCCAACAATTGTGGAAACATCGGTTGGCTTTTCCATTTTTCTTTATTTCGTTTTTATTTTTTTTTTATTTCCCTCGCTTGTTGTGCTCGATTGTGCTCTTGCGTCTGACTTTAATATTGTTTATATATTTAAATTTTTTTAATGTTTTGCCACAACTGTCGCATCAAGAACTGAAAACCAGCAAACAGATGCGCTGATAAGAGCTGTTCATTTCAGCAAATTGCGTACTGCAGCTGCGAAATGCGAAAAAATATAAAATTACAATAAATAACAACTCGCATGGCATTATTATACTCTAGCAGCGGGTACCGAAACTTTGCTATAAAATATTCGAGACATAATTATTATTAATATAGTTATATAATATAATGAAGTAAAGTATATTTATTAAAATATAGTAATAGTTATAAATATATATATATATTCTTTTTTTTTCACATAAATAATATATTCTTAATATTAAATCAGCTTGCATTAAATAGTTTGCTTCATTTTTACTTAATGTCTGATAGATCGTGTTAAGGTAATAATATTTTACAAAATTTATCAAACTTTTATCCAGCTGCATATTAATTGAATTTATTTTATACTATTTATACTATTTGCTTTGGGTTTCTTATTATAGAAAATTGATTGTATTTGTGAATTGTTTAAGAATAATTAAGCACAATATCATGCCGTTCCTAAGGTGTTTGAAGGGCATCAAAATTTCAGTTACCTGCCGATGACTCTTACTTCGTACTCCTTACAAATAATAAGAGGAAAAATAATATCCAAATTACTTACGCATGTTTATTTGTTGCTTTTTTATATTTTTTTTTATTTTGCTTATTTGCTGTTTTCGTGCTCATTTGTCATTTGCAAATTTGGCAGTTTTCTGCGAAGCGTATCAAATCAAGGCGTAAACGGAAATACGTGAGCGAATTCATAGACAACCCACACTGAATTATATTTGGCCGCCCGAGCCTCGGGCAGGGCATATCATATATATAAGCTGGGTAATGAAAGTAGCTCATTAAATGACTAGCACAAATAGCTAAAGGTGCTCATGACAGAACCACATTAGATCTATGGATATACACGCATATCTGCATATAGATTTCTCGGTAGCGACTCGTGCTCTTTGGTGAGGCATTAATTACAGCTGTTACATATATTTGTATTATGTTTATCCGTGTATATGGGGTTTGTATGTTTTAGCCATTTAAGAGCTCAGCTGCTTGAGCTAAACAAATATTTAAGTTGATTGGGCGGGCGCAAATGTAAAAAGTTTCCACTCTAGAGTTCACCAAATTCGCATAAATTCTATGCGTGCCATGGCAGCCGTGAACTTTTTAATGTATTTTAAAACACTTTCCACTAAACATTTTAAGTAAACTGCTCCACAGTCAACGTCTTCATCTCCATCTCCATCTTCGTCTTCGTCTTCATCCTCATCTTCATCTTCCTTCTCTGCGTTGGTGTCGGCGTCGGCAGGCGCTGGGATGCCAAGTTGACTTCCTGTGCAAGCGGCAAAGTTTCTGGCACTCCTGCCGCTGTTCCAACTTCTGTTCTTGCCGCTGCACTTGCTCGGCAAATTCCATGGAGACTGAAATCAAGTATTTCATTTTGGATTCAACTGCTGTCCGAGCATTGCAACGCCGCCACCACCAACAGCCCCAAACAGCTCCAGAAGCAGCAGCAGCAGCTACAAAATGGCAAATTAAACTAAGTACAATTGAATGAACGAAGCTCGAGATACACTAACATTAGCAACAGATTGCACAGCTGTTTTTCGCGGAAAAATCCGGAGAAACTGCCGACAGGAAATGCTTTGAACCAGGAAAGGAAGTGTTCCTTTATATGCAGCTGACCTGCACTTTCATCATGGGGATTACGCAACTACGGCGCTTTTCTGGATTTTTTTTCAAGTGTATACACTGAAAAAAATCAAGTATTCCGTACCGAAAACGTGGCCTCAATAGTTGGGTAAGCTCGAGTTCTTCAAACCAAGTATAAAATATTAAACTTAGAAATGTAATTTTTGTTTAGATTCGAGAT